AATACCTGTTTTATTTAGTTTTTTACTTATATCTTGGAACCTATGCATTTTGGAAGAATATTGAAGAGGAAAAAAGTTTTAAAATTGAATTTTGCATAATATACTGCAAGTTAAAAATGTTTAAATTTATTACCGATGTTGCAAATAGCAATAATTGATGAAAAAAAGGAAAAATAATTAAGTTTTTTGCATGTTTTTAAAATATTTTAATTGCTCCGAGAGCATTCTAATTTTAGTAACAAAAACTTTAGAGTATAATAAAACAACACACCAAATTTTATTAAAATCAGTTCGATAGTTTTCGCAAAACAATTTTTTTAAAAAAATTCTGAAAAATTTTTCACATAGAAAAGACGGCTCGACCTTTCAAATGGTTTTTGAAAAATTAAAATCGGTTGATTAGGACAGCCACACTAACATAAGTTAACACTTTTTTTTATTTTTAAACAATTAGATTACACTTATCAATTTGCAATTTAGTTTTTTTCAAAAATTGTAATTTTGAAGTACTCGGAAAGACGCTCCTTTAAAAAAAAAGTTAAATTCCGTTTATTGGTTCTTGAGATATAAGCGGTTAAAGTTTATCGGCATTTACCGTTAATTTTAAACAATTTAGCAATAATCTTTGATCTAGTGGCTTCGTTTTTCCGAGTTCTAAGCTGAAAAAATATTTTCATATCCATAAGTTATCGGCAACATAGATAAATCATCGGAAAAGCTGTCACTCGCACGCGCGAAAGTGACTCAAAACACGAAAAGTGGGGAGGGGGCTTTCGCTCCGAGACTGAATTCGGAGGTTCAAAATGCGAAGGTACGAAAAAAATTGAATTATCTAATGGACCAATTTCGATCTATATTTTGTTATAAACAAAGTTTATTATTTATGCATTAAATATACTGTATATTTTACCCTTGCATTTATCCAATGAAAAAATTTGTTTACGTATATATTTCAATACACTGAATATAAATATATGTAGTTATAATTATTACAAGTATTTAATTATTTTTTGTTTAAAAAATGAAGATTTTTTTTTATTTGGAAATTTTTTGTTAAATACAGATAAAATTAAGAAAAAATAGTACTTTAAAATAATAAATTTTTAAAAAACACTAAATTGCAAATTGATAAATGTAATCTAATTGTTTAAAAATTAAAAAAAGAGTGTTAACTTTAAAAATTTACTGTGACTGTCCTAATCAACTGATTTCAATTTTTCAAAAACCATTTGAAAGTTTGAGCGGTCTTTTCTATGTGAAAAAATGTTCAAGTATTTTGATGCCTTATTCGAGGCATTTTAAAAATTCGAAATTTTTTTTTCAAAAATTTCGTATGTTGTTATTATATTCTAAAGTTTTTTTTTACCAAAATAAGAATGTCCTGGAGGCAATTAAAATATTTTAAAAAAATTATCCAAAAAACTTGAAAATTTTGCCATTTTTTAATAAATTATTGCTTTTTGTAACATCGGTTACAAACTTAAACATTTTTAACTTACAGTATTTTCAGTCAAATCGTTTACGAGGGAATCAATCTCTAAAAAAAAAAAGGTCTACAGCAGCCCAATGGACAAATTGATGTCTGAAAAAAACACGTCTTAACCCGGAGAAATGACATATTAACCCGGAGCCCGGAGATGTACCATCAAAACCCGGAGACCTGGCAAGCCTAGTTCCAAGATATAAGTAAAAAACTCAGATAAAATAGGAATTTTTAAAATTTTTAAAACATTTTTGCAATTTTGAAAATGTTCCGGACCTCGCCCAGA